CAGAAAACCAACCCAAAACTGTTCAGAAACATAAAGATAATCTTAATACCATTGTGACAATGACCAACATTTAAGGGAACTATGTCTAGAACTCATTCTGAGGATCATTTTTTAGAGTGCTTTAACAACTGTGTGAGGCAGGTACTATTTTTGTCCCATTTTGTGCAAAGCAAACTGAGGCTTGATGGAGTGAATTGAGTCACAGTCACGTGGACAAGAGTGGTAGTCAGGAGCCTGTCTTAGTCACTCTCGCATTAGTGGAAACAATACCAGACACTTACAACTAAACAGAGGAAAGGTTTCTTTCTTTTCTTTTCTTTTTTTTTTTTTTTTTTTCTCACAGTTTTAGCCTGTGCTCATTTGGCTCTAAGCCAGAAACAAGATGTCAGAAGGGCCTGACACAGGACTAGCAGGAAAGCAGCCGGGAGGCAGAAAGAGAGAGAGAGAAAGGAGGAGCAAGGATAAGAATACACCCTTCCAGGTCACATGCCAGTGAATTTTAGGGGACATTTTAGATCTAAACAGATTCCAAAGGCCTGTCTGGATAGCACCCACACTTGTTTCTTTGCTCATTAATGTTCCACGACTTTTTGTGTATGTGATGCTGCGGATGGATCCCATGGCTTTGCAAGATCAGGCAAGCACTCTACCACCACTGCTACTCCAGGCCCTGCCTTCTTCACTAAACACAGGTTTGGGGACAGTTGTTAGAACTGGCTTTTTTGATCAAGGGCCATTTCATAGTCTTAGCAGAAATGGAAATTTTACACTCTGGTTCACATTGGGACGTTTCCTAAAGGTATGGCTTGCATAGAAAGCATCTTGGGGCCTTGGAAGGTGGCAGAGCCATGGGGCCACAGGCAACTGGAATGGGACAGTCTGTACTCTGCTCCCCTGCTGGCTGATGACTACATTCAATCTGCTCTCCTCTCCCTGCGCCATAGCAAGCTAAATCAATCAATCAGCTAACAATAGCGAATCAACTCCAAAGAATACGGAACAACAGCAATAAATGGGCATGCTGTACTTCCCTTGACCTTTAAGCTGATTATAGTCCTGATTGTCTTCCAATTTGGAAGTGAACTGAAACAGTAGTTGAGGGCAGTTGTGTGAGGAAGAGAGGCTTGGTCTGAGCCAGCCAACTGGCAGTAATTGCTCAAGCTGCTTATTTATGAGAGAAGTGGGGCTGCCAATGCAAGGTGTTCTTTCTACTCTGCACCAGGCACTTGCATATAATGACTCATTTAAACTTCACAACTCCATTCATTCATTCATTCATTCATGCGCTCACTCATTCAAATATCCATCGAAATTTTATTGAATGTTTCCTTTGAGTCAGGCTCTGTTTTGAGGGGTGAATCTGGCCAAGCAGGTCTTTGTCTTCAGAGTTTGCCCTCCATCAGGGAAGACAAGTAACTGCCAAAGAAGCTAAGGACAAGCATACGGTCACTCCTCAGCGGGACTCATCATGCTACCCAACGCTCAGGACCTGGAGGGTTCTGGGATATCACATTTTAGAGAGGCTGGGAACTAGCACATTACCAGTGATGCCTGGTTTCAGCATCTCATCCCAAAGCAATAGTTTGAATCTCTGGAGATGAAGCACTAGAATTTCAACCTAAAACTTTGAAAATAATTGTGACTTTGCAAAAAAGTTGTGATTGGGCTGGTGAGATGGCTTAGTGGTCTAAAGCACCTACTTAGAACAAGCTAAGCTAAGCAAAACACAGGGACCACGGTTCAA